GGACATCTCCACATCTATGGCGAGGAAGAAAGATGTTATGTGTAAATTAGAGATTAGCGCAAAGATTAATTAGCTTCAGTGAGTAACTGGTCTTGGGCAGCCAGGTGCTGTGGCCAGGATTACAACCTGACGCCTCTATTCACACGGGGCACTTGAAAATAGGGTTGTAACAATATGCCGGTATGACGGTCTACCACGATTTGAACGTGCACGATTATCATACCATGAACAATTGCATATCAACGGTTTTAACCCTTAAAGACCGAGACAGCCGCCCGCGGCTAAAAATAAGTATTGCTCTTAAATGTTTAATAACTTTTGATCCGCTGATCCGATTCCTACAATTCAAAGATTGGCATAAAGAAGAGAATCTCAGCTTTCCAGTGCTGTATCTCATAACATTCACGGCTCCGGAGGCTCCGGAATCAGTGCGGTTACGTCATCAAAATTTGACAACGCTGATTTGACAAAGAAACGCTCGTCACTGTGTCTCCGGACAAACCAGACACGATACATTGATGCATTGTCCCTCCTCCATGCCCAGATTGGTTCAAACTCGCCATATCACAACCAATAAGCATAGGTTTCGCTTTTGTTTGTGGACCAAAAACGAGCTTTTTGAACAACACAGAATGAGAGATAGGCATACATTTATGCGCGGCTAAATAAAACGCAAAAAAATAAGTTTTGCATGAAATAATTCTCATACTAAGTACTTTTGCATGCACAGCAGCACAGAAACATGACAAAACAGTGACACAGCAAAGACGAACTGCTGCTCTTGCTGTTTTCAAAAGACGCAAATGAAGGTGCAGCTGTTAAATCCATATCCACAGACAACCATATCCAAATCCATATCCACAGACAACCATATCCATGCTGGCACATAAAACCTAAGGATGTTCCATATTGAATCTAGTTTCATTAAGTAACTATTTATAGTATAGTAAATATTTATATCTATTTTTTTACTGAGGATTTGCACCATGTTTATTTGGACTTTATTTGGACTTTGACACATTATTTATTATTTTCTTATTTTTTTATTTGTTCATTGTAAGTGGTGTTGTTTATAGTAACTGAAAATATATTATTTGGAAAAAGTCAAATTTGCTTCACTGTTCTATTATTTTGTAACATTTGTAACATACCGTATACCGCGAAACCGTCAAACCGTGGTATTGTTCTAGACGATTATCATACCGTAAAAAATTCATACCGTTACAACCCTACTTGAAAACTTACGTTTTCTCGTGAGATCAGTCTGGAATATAAAGAGTTAACCAGATACAGCACGTAGAATTTTTTTTCCTGACTTAAATGCGTTTGTAAGCTTGATCAAGTTTCAAAATAGTTTAACTTTTGCCGCTGTGTGGATTAATACTAAATGTGTGCCGTTGTTTTTACTTAAGTTTAAGAATAGAGCAATATGCTGGTGTTTACCTGCATTGCTTTAATGCACTCCTGCATTGGGCTCACACATACACACTGCACTCTGACTACTTCAACAATGTTAACAAGTCGTGGTGGGTGATTCTCTCTGTCTTGCTCTGAATGCAGTCGACCAATCGCAACAGACTAGCTCATTTGACCAATCAGCACAAATTAGCATCGTGCTAAGGAGAGGTTTGGGTACAAATGAATCGCTGAACGAATCATATGGACGTCGTTAGGATAATTAGCTAAAATTAAATGCATATTCCAAAACAATAAAAGTGTTTTTTGACCTTGCATACAATACAGCCTGTTGTTGGAGACCCCCAAAAACCAAAATATGATCTCTTTAAATGCATAATAGGGGCTCTTTATGATTCAGTTTCTCTAGGAATTGCACAACAATGCAATGCAATACAATAAAAAAGGTGGTAGCAGCTTCATAACTTAATGACTTTAAAAAGGTTATATTGAGTTTCCGCTTCTCCCTGCACTATACGGCTTGTACTTTTCTGTTTTATCTCATTATTTTGTTATTCTTGTGCAAATAAATAAATATTAATCTTCTAATCCAGTCATCTCTCCATGCTTTAGCCTCGCTCTATCGGTCGCCGCTTTGTGCCAAGCGTCTCTTTCTTGCGTTTGCAGATAACCTCCATGTTCCCTCTGACTGTGTCATTTCCTATTGGGCTGATAAACTGGATTTAAGCTTGATCTGGTCAGAGCTGTGGAAATCGGTGTCACTTTCTTCTTCATCACAGAGCTGTGATAGGCCACCTGAGCGAGCTAAATGCACATAATCCAACATGAAAACCAGAGGGTTGCGCTATTATCAGAGCGTGGGAAAACCACTAATGTATTCTGCTTTAAAATAGCAGTTTTAAAGGAACAGTACACGCAAAAATGAACATCACTACCATTTACTTACACTTTTAAATGAACAGTGCACCCAAAAATGGACATTTGAATCATTTACTCTCACTTTTAAAGGCATAGTACACCCAAAAATGAACATCTGTATTGTTTACTTGCACTTTTAAAAGAATTGTATACCAAAAATGGACAT